CCCATAATATTCTTCATCGTCCTCATGACTCTGCTAGTTGGTCAGAAGGTACTTAATCAGCTTTCTCAATATCTATTATGGGTACAAAAATTTTTTATCCTTTTTGAGTGGGATTCATTGAACTCTCTCGTTTATATTTTCCGGGGATACAAAAGTTCTAGCTGCAGTATACGGACCTAAAGCAGGAAAGAAGAAGAACGAAAATGCTGAGAAGACTTGTTTTGAAGTCATATGGAAGCCTTAAACCGGATAGATTGGTAATCGTAAATGCGTTTAGTTGTTCAGAAGGAGGTTTGTTTTGTTGCTTGAGTATGTCATACAGGTGATTCTTGGTTTTTAGATCTGAATTACTTTTGCTTTGAATATTGATAGGAAAAGTTGAAAGGGAGTATGAAACGATACTGAAAAGGACGCTACAGAGTATTTCTGTTTTGACAGTTGTTCCAAATACCACCACCTCAGTGATAATTCAGGTGAGTAGCTATTCAATGTTGTGTATATCGATATTGTCAACTTGAGTTGTATCTGATGTTTTCATTTTGTAATTCTCGTGTAGGTTGTACATGATGGTGGTTCTGTATCGTTTTTATGTTCCTTGCACCTTGGTAAACATTTACTGATGGTGTTTGAAACACATATAATCCGGTATAAAAAATGTCTGTTTGAGTATTTATAGAGTTTATAGTAGTGAAAGTTTGTAATCCCATAAGCTGAGAATGTGAATATGTTTTTGTGTAACTTCTACCGTGGCCTCCATTCGGGCAGTTAGAAGGTAGAAAACGTTTGTTCTAAAGAAATATGATGTACAGAAAGGGAGACTATGAAGGATGGAATTTACGAAGTCGAGAAATTTGCGTTGAGATTCTTCTTCTTTCATATTGAACGATCGAGCAGAGAGTGGGAGAGATTTATTTTGTTAAAGTCTTGTAGAGAATTAGAATATTTGTTGGGTTTCGAAGCATTAAGCCATCACTAAAATGGGCTCGACCTATTAATATTGCACTCTAATAGATTCTAAAACACATATGGCCCATCCGTCATGGGCTATTTTGTTTACTCCATTTGACACTTATAATTAGAAGCTGACGTGTATTAATGAAATGTTTTGATTGGACGAATAAAAAGCTGATGTGTCATCTTTAGAAGAGCCAAAAATGCTGACGTGGCGGAAAGATGGAGAGAGATAGCCTCCTTTCATATATGATTTGGCCTCTCAAGTTTCACAATTCTTGAAATTCTATTATCATTTGGAATTGGAAATGTGGATGCCATTGATTTTTTCCAATGCAAAACAGAAGAATCTCTGGAGTTTAATAACCTGGCAAGAAGTTTCAACAGCCATTTCCACTTCTTATCGATAATATTCAATTTCAACTGAAAACAAATAACTCATGGCTAATCATATGCTGTCATGTGAGTTGAGACAGTTTAAGAGTATGTTATCTTTCATATTTGGTGATGTGTGAATGTTTTGGCTGTGTATCTTTCATGTTAGAAACAATGAAGTTGTTATAGACCTGATGGAAACGTATAGGAGCTAGAATCAACATGGATTCTGAGGAGATTGCGAGACAATTCAGTAAGCTCTTTTTTCGTGCACACATGTTTTATATGGATATAGGTTTATATGAACGATCTCAACTCCAAACAATGACCTAAAATGGATTGCCATTCGGAGCCAATGTGACTGGGCAAATGCATTGTGGTCTATGGTCTACAGATTTTTTACTTGATACAATACTTTGAAAGGAAGAAGCTTATTTAGATCAGAGTGATCCATGGATGTCTCTTGTTCAAGAATACTAGAACTAAAACTTTCCTCTTCTAAAAAAAAAATCCTTTCTTCTGATTCCTGTTTTGTCAGAACTGTTAGTGTAAAATTTTGTTCTTACGTTACTATATAACTAAAATAAGATTCCGGTTATGAGCTAAATTTCATATGGTGAAATGAAATTGACTTTTATTTGGAATAACTTTTTGAGTTTTGTAGAGCTCATCCGGTAAGAAAACAGAGTGATTTTAGGATTACTGTGAACTACATACTAACTTTATGTCCAAATCTCATATTTTGCTAGCATGTAGGGAGCGTCTGTAATTAACAAATAGTAACAATATCATATTGTTTTGTATTCTTGTAAAATTTATTTTTTTCGTTTGTTTTAAAAACCAAATTATAACTAAATCGAATTAAAATCAAGCCGAACTAAACCGAATAAAACACAAACTAAATTAAGTTTAGTTAATGTTATTGGTTCCTAATTTACAAGAAATTTTGATGACTTTAATAAAATCATAGAAAATAAATAAATGAAAGATTCTAAACAATTGCTAGAGAGTTATCTATAATCTTGTTGATTAGTTTTTTCATAATCTTGTAAAGTTATCCAAACAATCGCTCTATTTTGATGATATTTTTTATGACTTTATTTTATGAAGAAAAGTATAAAAAATCATAAACTAATAACCTAATAATTTAATTCATTAACAATTATAGATTTTTTTGTTTTCATTGAATAATACAAAACTTTTAATGACTTTATAATTAAAAGTATGAATCCAATAACTCCAGATTTATGAATATCTTAGATTACTTTATACAAATCTTAAACTAATAACACCAAACTTTAACAAACTCTTAGAAAATTTTGATTGAATAACAACAGATTTTACATAACATTTAAAGTCACTAAAACTCTATATAAATCACAAACCAATAACACCCCCTTAATATACTATAACCAAATTAACTAAACCGAACCAATTCCTAACCGAAATGCCCACACCAATTTAATATACCAAACTTTGTGTCCAAATTACAAAATATCGGGGGTAATTAACAAACCAATACGTACCTGCCTTTAATTCCTAAAAATCCAATGGGTATTTACAAATCAATGGCCCAATCAGGCCCATTTATCAAAACCCTAATTCACTTTATAAATTTCTTGCTTTTATCTTCACTCTACCTTTTCTAGGGTTTCAGCCACCAGAGACTCAAACAGAGAGGAAAAAATGCCTGCGGGACACGGAGTGAGAGCGAGAACAAGAGATCTGTTCGCAAGACCATTCAGGAAGAAGGGTTATATTCCACTCTCCACTTATCTCAGAACCTTCAAGGTCGGCGATTACGTCGATGTCAAGGTTAATGGAGCTATTCACAAGGGTATGCCTCATAAGTTCTACCATGGTCGTACTGGTCGTATCTGGAATGTCACTAAGCGTGCCGTTGGTGTTGAAGTCAACAAACAGGTTTGATTACTCAAAAATTTTAATCTGTTTGGAAGAGTTTTGATTGTTGAAATTAGGGTTTGAGCGTGATTTTGATTCTTTGTTTAAGGGTTTGATTCGTCTTTGTGTGAGCTATCTGTTTTGAATTCTGAGATGTTGGATTGGTATTGCTTCGAAAGATTCAAGCTTTTCTTCTTGGGTCCTTTTTTTTAGTGATGTTTTGATATTGACTTTGTTGTTGTGGAAGCTGTCTCTTTGAATGTATTGTGTATATGATTAGTGTAGATCTAATTTTGATTTTTGGGTTGGTTTTAGATTGGGAACAGAATCATAAGGAAGAGGATACATGTGCGTGTGGAGCATGTGCAACAGTCAAGGTGTGCTGAGGAGTTTAAACTCAGGAAGAAGCAGAACGATGTGCTTAAGGCTGCAGCTAAAGCTAGAGGTGAGACTATTAGCACCAAGAGACAGCCTAAAGGTCCTAAACCGGGTTTCATGGTCGAAGGTATGACCTTGGAGACTGTTACTCCCATTCCTTACGATGTTGTCAACGATCTCAAGGGTGGCTATTGAGTTGTTTCCATTTTTATCATTCTCTGTTCGGAATTTTTGCACTTGCTTTGTTTTTCTTATGATGTTTTTGTATCAAACAAGACTGATTTCTATATGGTATGAGAGTGCTATTCAGATTTTTGTTCGAAGAGATGGTCTATCATAACCATTTGCTTATTGCATTCGTTTGTTTGTGAAATCATTTCTGCATTATCCAGAAAAATGAATCCTTAGTAGAACTTGAGACATTATATCAGTTAAACATGGAAAAGATCAATGGTTAGTAATTTAGTATGAGACATTTTGATTGTTGCTGTTTGTGTTTCCACACACTCTCACGCACCCCAACCATTGTCCTGTTGGTAGTAATAGAAAACAGTTCCTTGGTACAAACCTAGAATACATGTAGGTAATACAGATGTGATATCGTCTTATACTCTAGACTCAAAAAATATTTGCAATGGTTACAACCATCTGCGAAATACATCAACCATTGCTCTTGTAACTGTAAATTACTAAATTAGTTGGAAGCTCCCTGTAAAATTGGGTGCTTTTATCATAGATGAAGCCAATATCACAGTTCATTACACATATCGCTCAGAAAAACGACTGCAATGTAAGAAAGAAAAGCAAAGCAGAACATCAACTATCCAACGAATAGCAACGTTTTCAGATTATACCCAAAGATCAATGCAGAACATGCCTAGCGTGCTTTACAATCTGATTGCGCGGCTGGAACCTCGGAACTCAAGTGCTTCAATTCAAACTGGTCAAGATAGAAGAGAAAGATTTGAGAGAAAAAAGAAGAGATGACACAAACACACTGATAAAAAAACTCAGCTGATAATCATTTTTAAAAACATAGTGTATGGAGGGAGAGGAGTGGAAGAAGTCATGACGAAAGTCCATCTCCGGCTGAAAAACTCACTGGCTTTATAGATAAAAGTGTCTGAAACCGTCTAAGCACAGTCCAAATGACGAGTTCTCTGGCGTATGAGGGTGGTCTTCGATTTTGGTTTCAAGCCCCTAGCAACTAGCTTCTCAACTTAAGCAAATGATAAAAAAATCTCTAAAATCTCTGTTTTTATGTTGCACTTGATGTAAAACAGTTTTTTTTTTTTGTGAATAAATTTTACATTCATACAAAGAAAAAAAAGCTCACCTGAAGATTCACTAATTCATATTCTCGCCTTCTCCAATCTAATCTTAATCCGGAGACAGAAATCTATTCATGGTTATTCCTTCTTGTGTTTCCATTAAACTATATCAAGAAACTGAAGCAAATTTTATTTATTTCCATTAGCAATTGAAGCCACAAAAAACAAAGAGACCAAATCGAAACAAAAGCTCGCTCAGACGGACTTATCCGCCCAACGGCTCGAAATAGCCACAACAGAGCCAACCTGACTAGCAAGAATAACCATGGCTGGTGAGGCACACTTGTGAACAGTTTCATTTAGTAAGCCGAGCACTGCACCAACCAGCTCAACAGCCGAACCAAACCATATCCATGGCATAGCCAGTGGAACGTTAAATGTTTTCACTTTCTTCACACAATCATCTTCTTTTCCTTCTTCAAAACGAACAGTTACAATGATGCCGAGCACTGCACCAATCATCTCAACCACCGAACCAAACCATAACCATGGCAGAGCCAGTGGAACATTAAATGTTTTCACTTTCTTCACAAAATCATCTTCTCTTCCTTCATCAGCTTGAACAGTCTCAGCGACTAAGCCTAGCACTGCACCAATCAGCTCAACCGCCGAGCTAAACCATGACCAAGGCAGAGTCAGTGGAACGTTAAATGTTTCAACATTCTCCACACAATTGCCTTCTTTTGCTTCATCAGATTGAATGGTGGTTAAAACTTCCTCAACCGCCTTCACAACCTTCTTGATAAATTTGGCCTCGTATCTGTAAAATTAGAGTAAATTATGGAGGCAAATTAAAATGGTTAACCACGCGAATCAATCATACTTAGATCATTAGCATTTATTCAAGCCCATTTAACCCCGCTCAGGTTTTGGGTTCATACCGTATTCAGGGCCGGTCCAACACTATGGACCGCCTGAAGCAATTTTTTAATGCCCATCTTATTATATAAAGTATGGTTTTCAAAGTTAATAACTCACGAGATTGTGACACGTATCAAATTTTTTGATCTGAGATTTTGACATGTGTCAAATAAAATTTTTCTTTTTAAAAAAAAGAAAGTAAAAAGATAATTATAAAAAAATATAAATTTAAACAGTTTTACAATGTAAAAAACTAATTATAAGGAAATTATACATATATTTCCATTAGAGTTTTTGCCATCTAGCAAACAAATTTTTGTTTTAAATATAATTATAGCAAAAATAAAATTTAAACAGTTTTAAAAATATAAAAAGATTATAATAAGAAAACTATACATATATATAAGAAATTTATATGTATATTTTCATAAAAATCAAAATTATAAAAATATGCTAAATGTTTTATTTAGAAGTAGACTAGAGTTATTATCGGAGAGGTTTAGTCTAATGTCGGAGGAGATAAAGAAGGTGGAGTAATAAGAGAAGTTGGAGAAAGAGGATAAGAGGCGGTAACAGTGGTGTTAGTGTTGATGATGGTGGTTCAAGCTTGGTGGTGGTGGCGGCGGTAAATATTGATTAAGGTGGTGAGTCGGAATTAGCGAGATTCGGTATTGATAGTGGTGGTGATTGTGATAGTAGTGAGATTCATTTGTGGTGGTGGGTCAGAGTAGTGAGACTCGGTAGTGGTGCCCGACGAATGCGAGAAATGGAGATAGAGAAAAAGAAAAGATATGGTAGTGAAAAAAATCCGACGAGAGGGAGAAAAAGAGAAAGAAAGAGGAGTTCGAACAAAAATAAGAGAAATATAATGAGAGATACATAGAGATTTGAGAATTAGTTTCAAGAAAAAAACGAAAAAATTGGTAGTATGGGCCTAAAATGACAAAAGCAATGTAGCAAATAGATAATGTTTAGTCTGATGCTGTTTTCTTAATTTTTTTGAAGTTTTAAGTTATTTAGTTTATATTCTCTAATTCCTTTATAACTTATAAGGTTTTTTTTTTTTCTGTTGAGGATATTTCATATTATCAGTAAAGTTACATGACAAGGATTTAGATGGTCTCATATTTCCTCTTATTTTATTGTCACAATTTTATTATGACGTCAAACTTTTCTAAAAAAATATTTATATTTACGTAATTCAGACTATACGTTTACATGTTATACATATATCGTTCATATGTTTACGTAGTAACTATATAATTTTATCTTTTCTTATTGTCATAGTTTGTTTCCATCTTGCCCACATTGAAATTATAAGATGTAACACACTCTTCTGATGGATGTAAATAATTTATTAAAATTCAATAATAGAACATATGAACATTTATGACTTCAAAACTTATAATAAGAAAAAAATTATATAATTTTAAAAGTAGACCAACATTAATATTAGATGATTTAATAATTAATATAACATACCTATAAATAATGTTTTATATTACGCATTATGCTAATAAATCTATATATAGAAATAACTATGCTGTATTTTTTAAAATAGATATGTTGATAGAATTTTAGTTAAGCTTACAAAAATAAAATAAAAATATTAAGAATGATAATTTCGACCAGTAATCCGTGCAACGCACGAGTCCATATCTAGTTAAGTATAAAAATATATATAAATGTTACTACTAAGACTCAATCACGCGACATGAAGAACCATAAAACCTAGTGAAACCGATGTATAATAAGTGGTTTGTTGCTTTGGATGCCCTCAAACTACTATATACTATTTTTGTGTCTAAAGCCTTTGTTTATTGGGGTATTAGGTCAGGGCTGGCAGTTTGGCACTGCCTTGTTTAGAGACTAGGTTAATACCTTGTTAGAGAAGCGAAGATGCAGAGAAAAAATATATGCAAAATTTTAGAACAAAATACTATAGTATTAATTTCAGTTGTTGATGAAAAAAAAGAATTAAGTATTCAAAAAAAAAATATTGCGAGGAGCCTATTATTATAGTTGAGTCAACAAAATGAAATAATTATCTTCAACTTAAGTGTTAGTAAAAAATATTTGAATAAAAATCAAGTAGCCTATTAATTGACTTTATCAATTTATCACATGATGACTTTTCTTAAACGAAATTCTCACACGGTAGCTTTTAAAAAAAAAAAAAAAAAAACAAAGCACGGTACATAAAGATGTTTAACAAAAAAGTTAGAAACTTTACATATTAGATTTTAAAATTATTCGTTGATTATCTTTAGGTAAAAATATTATTGGCCTAGTTTGTCTTATTCTTAATTTCTAGTTTGTGTAGGAAAGTGAAAGAACATACATAAAAAATCCATTAGTAGTTTGGCAAAAATAACACCATCTTTGTAAAAAATTTCGATTACTACTTTAAAGTTGAAAAAAGCTGATCCACCCATGCTATTTGGCATTTACAAAAAAACACATAAATAAACAATGGAAATATCTCAAAAATCAAATCAAGATATGTATTACCCGTGTATAGTTTGAAAAAAAAAAAAAGAAGATTTAAAGTGTCAGGTATTAGAAGAAAACACTCACATGAGATTCACATAGTGAATTTTTTTTTTACATAGTGAATTTATCAGTAATTTAGAATATGTTAGGCGTTAAACGGCACATGATGCATCATCTAGTGCCTAAGAAGCCTAATCGAAACATATGCGGTTTAAGCGTTTACAACATAAAACATTATAATGATTATATTATAGATAAAAATTATACAAAAACATCCATTAGAAAAATAAAATATATTAAATCGTAAAGAAAAATTAGACCAAAAAATCATTTAATTTATATCAAACATATGAACGTTTATAAACATTTATATGGACTTAAAATTTCTAAATTTAAACCTGTGTAGTTAGATATTGGAAAATACATTGAAAAAAAAAATTGATCAAAGATTTTTGGAGAACCACCTAAGAACGCTTAAAATCGCTTAAAATCGCTTAAAACTGTTAAAATCCGTTTAACAACAAAAATGCATAATTTCAACGCATAGAAGGTAAACTTTTTGGTCTAGCCAATTGTTTAGGTGTTGCCTACACGACCGCCTAAATTGCGTTTTACAATCTGGAATTTATACTATTGATTCATGTATAGAAATGTCATCAATAATGATGATACCAATAAACAAGTAAACGTTTAACCTAAAACTAATTTGGCGTTGTGTTCTCGACGATCATTTTTTTTTTTTTTTGCTAAACATGTTAATATCATTAGAAATGAAGGTGAGGTATTACAAGATAGCACTACCTAAAGAAAGTGGCCTTGGCAAAAAAATAAAACAAGACTACAATAAATTTGGAAAAGATTTGGGTAAATCTATTGGATCCACAGAAGCATTAACTTTCTCCATCTCTTTCTTTTCCTTCGAGATGTGATAATGTTTCGGACCTCTCGGTCAATCAACTTGAAGATGAAGATAGGAGCGATGAATTGTGAGTTATGAAACGCATTATTCCTCTGTTTCCAAATATGGTAAACCGATGCTTGAGCCGCCACCATACGGAGCAGTGAAGGAGCGCTAGAGGAGGCTTGACGAGTCCAGGAAAGAAGTTCTGCCCATGAAGTAAAGATAGGTAGAGAAGGGCATAACCTGCTGAAAACCAGTTTCCAAATAACAGCGGAGAATGAGCAAGAAATCAGCAGATGATCCCGCGATTCAATATGAGATGAGCAAAGGCAACATTCCGCAATATCACATATACCCCAGGCAACCAGACGCTGTCTAGTCGGCAATCTATTCTCGACGATCATCGCGTCGTCATTTGAGAAAAGCCGATCTATAATTTGATCTAATTCAGATTCATTTGGAAATAGTCGGATCATTATCTAAAGCCGTGAAGCGTTGACTTTATTCGGGAAAGAGTGACTGATATAAATGACGAGAGTCATATTTTGAAGCATAATGCTGTTTCAAAATCCTTTACGGTCGTTCCTGTTCTACTTACAAACCATTTTGGTATATTGTTCTGATTTGGTCGGAACTCTAGTTTATTAGGGTTTCTACGGTACAAGTGGAAATAATAAACTAGAAATGAGTTTACTTACCTTTTGCGATCCAACGTGAGGCCAACCTTGTTGCACACAGCCTTCAAAGCCACATGCCATTTCTCCATCTCTTCAAGACTTGCTTCTTCATCGCAACTCCAAAACTTATCGCCGAACACTCCCGTTTGTTTCTCCACGTCTTCCGTTCTCACTTTATAGAAGATTGGGATAACAATCATTTTTCCTTTTTCTACTTGGTCCATGATTGTTGTCAGCTCTTCCAAACACCATTTTGATTCCCCATACCTATTCAGAATAGTTTTCAGAGACTATAAAACATTTATAATAAAATGTTTTTTTAATATATTGAGCATGACTGGAACATTACCTTGGGGATAAGATGACCAGCGCGATCGTGGCCTCTTCGATCCGTTTAAAGAGGTGGTTCAGGTCTCTTCCCTTTTGTTCATGTGTATCTATGAAGAAGTTGATATTTTTTCGTTTCAAGGCAACTTTAAGGTGACTGACGAAGCCGTGGCGAATATCCTTTCCCCGGAAGTTGACGAATACTTGATTGACGGGGCGAGATAGAATGGCCATAATGAACAGATCTTTGGTTCAAGAGGACTTCTTCTTTCTCATCCCAATTGTGTCGGAGTGAAGGCAAGAGATTGTGTGATCAATCTTATATTTAAATGTCACGGAGAAAAATATCATATATTTAAATTCGTTGTAAAATTTATATTTATATACTATATTTACGCAATTATATACTATATTAGTATAATATATTTAATCTCAAGTTCTCAACTATTTTTGAATTTGTTTTCGTAAAAATGAAAAACAAAAATATCATGATAAAATGAGTTTTTATGAGAATTCCAAAAATCATCAATTAGTTAGAAATTTTTTTTATAGAATTATGATAAATAAACGAAAACCTCAAAAGCATATATATGTTGGGATTGTTAGTTACTAAATAATTGGCATCTTCATTTGAAAGTAGATAAATTGTTAGAAATACATTTTCATTGATACCCCTTTTCAAAAATACCCTCTTTTCTAGACATTTTCATTGATGCATTCTTTTAATTTTTAATGAGCATTTTATCTTTATTTGAAAAATAATTAAGTCAACTAAATGACAAAAATAAATTTTCCTACCAAAATTCTTTCCGACAAAATTTACCTGCCAAAAAAATTTCTGACAAAACATTTCCTGCCAAAAAAGAAAATTTTGGCGGGAAACAAGATTCCGTAAATTTTTGCGGGATATGGATTTACAAGGACTTTAAAAAGATTTTATAAGGGTTTGCAAGGGTTTTAAAGGAATTACAAGGAATTTAAAAGATTTACAAGGGTTCTTAAAAGTGTTTAAAAAGTTTTTAAAAAGATTAATAAGGGTTCTTAAGAGATTTTAAAAGGATTTAAAAAGATTTACAAGAGTTTTAAAAAGATTTGATAAGGGTTTTTAAAAGGTTGTAAAGAGTTTACAAGGGTTCTAAGAAAATTACAAGGATTTTTAAAAGGATTTACAAGTGTTTTAAAAACGCTTTAAAAAGATATATAATAGTTTTAAAAGGATTTACAAGGGTTTTAAAAGGAGTTTATAAGTGTTAACAAGAGTTTTAAGAGGGTTTTAAAGGTTTACAAGGGATTAAAAAGATTTTACAAAGGTTTTTATAAGATTTACAAGGGTTTACAAGGATTTTAAAACGATTTTATAAGGGTTTTAAAAAAAATTACAAAAGTTTTGAAAGATTTACAAGGGTTTAAAAAGGGTTTTATAAAGGTTTTAAAAAAACTTACAAGGGTTATATAAATTTTCGTCGAAAATATTTTTGGTAGGAAACTTTTTGTCGGAATTTTTTTTTGCGGGAAATTTATTGATTGTTACGGAAAATTTTTGGCGGAAAAATTGACTTTCTCAATACTTTTTCTCAATAAAGAAGAGTAATTTAGTCATTTAACACATAAAGTGGGGTATTTGTAAAAAATGGTCAATAGGAAGGGATATTTTTGAAAAATGACTTAGAAAAATGACTAAATATGAATTATTTTGATTCATTCTTAAACTAAATTTTTAACAAATAACAAAAATTGATAGTTATCTAGGAAAGAGAAGATTTAAATAGAAGTAAAAAATATGAATGGACACAATTTTAATACAAAAATATCAAACAAAAAATAATATTGAATGTACACAACTTTTCAAAATATAATATTATAAAATAGAATTTATATTAAAAATATTTTACTCATATGTTTTGGTAAAAATAATAACAATCTCATTAGGAAAATAATTGAGTCTTCAAATATCTTGAATGGTCTACACAGATTAAAAAATCAAATATAGAATGGTTCCTAGCAAATTGGTTCGAGAAGAATCATTCCAAACATAATTTAAATTTTAAACTAATAAAAGCACGTCTTCTATTTTTAATTTTTTTTACATCAATATTCAAATATATAAATTCATTAAGAAATACCGGATAAAAATATTCGAATTAAGAGAAGTGCTTTTACGAGCGTACCTTTATATTGACCCAAGTATACGTGTGTAGCCTACTAGCTAGGAAAATAATAAAAATTGTTTTTAATTACTCTTCAAAATTTGCCAAAGTTTGTTAATACAATAACTAGTAGAAGGATCAGATTGTCGGTTGGAAATCATATAAAAATTTCCAATAAGAAAAGTTCAATAAATTTTCTAATTAAATTGAATCACACTAATCTACATGTTGTAAGCATATTCTTTAGTTAAGATGGTTCTGTATCATTGCTATATTTAATACATATTAGTTCAAATGAAGTTAAAACAAAGATGATTCACATAAGGTTTCAATAGCATTGTGAATAAGATTTACATTTAACACTTTACCCAGTGATTGGTTTGGTTATTTTTTTCTAAGAAACTGGAATAGACACGTCAAATGTTAACAACCATGACTTGATACTCTAAGAAACAATAATGATTTGTAAACTTGGTCTTCAAAGCATATTAGAGTTTGGCATAAGAAGCCACTCAACTCTCAGCGGATAAGTTTAGTGAATTCTTAACTGGATCAATAACAAAATTTCTTTCGCTCATTCTTAGGTATTTACATTTCAGGACTAATTTTCGACCTATCCGTTACGATGTTGTCAACGATCTCAAAGGGGATGATTGTCTATTAAATTTCCATTTTTTCCATTCTCTACTCAGAATTGTGAACTTGCTTTGTAACTTGGAGCTATATATATAATAAGGTTCATATGTTTTTCTACCAAACAAGGCTGATTTCTATATGGTGCGTGGCTTTATCATAATCATTTGCTTACTGCATTTATTTGTTTGTAAAATCATTTCTACGTTGTGTTATGTTCTCAAATGGCACACGCAGGATTACTTTTATATGTATGTCTCTTTATTAAATTCAGATTATATCTAAATAGATTATTGTTATCTGAATAAAAAAATATATTGAAATGTGAAAAATATTAAAGTACCGCCTAAGTTAGAATATGGCATTTCACTCAGTCTCATCGAGTAAGCCGAGCACTGAACATATCAGCTCAACCACCGAGCCAAACCATGACCATGTATGTGTCAGTGAAACGTTAAATGTTTTCATCTTCTTCACACATCTGTCCTCTCTCCTTTTATCAGATAGGATGGTTAAAATTTTCTCGACCTCCTTCACGACCTTTTTGACAAACTTGGCCTCGGATCTGTGAAATTAGAGAGGAAACCATGAGATATTAATATTTTATTGGCAAAATGGACTTAATGGGCCTTACCGTATCTTGAGGCCCGTTTGATTTATGGTTCCAATTGGGTGGCTTACGCGGACGATGCAGAATTTAGACCAAATTCTCAAAATATTAATTAGTAATTTAGTTTAGTATTTATAATTTTTAGTCAAGTGGTTAGAGGTTTCACCTCCGTAGTCTTCTCCACTAGAGTTCGATTCTTGCAAATCGTGTTACCTCTGTAGTAATGATTGGACGATAGATCAGGTTTTGGCAATCCAAATGATGGCAAAACAATCAGAATTTTTGTTTCTCATATTTTAAAATTTATTATACAAATCTAGATAGAAAAATTTATAACTAAATTACACTAAGTAAATAATAATAATTACTTGCTGGTAAAGAAAAAAAAAACTCGAAACCAAACTTATTTAGATTAAAATTTTATATTTTATGAAAATGTAAGCTTGAGCGTTGTCATATTGCCCATGTTTTTCATATCAAAATTCATTTTTAATATCAAAATTCAAATAACTTATATATGTTACCGGAAAGTTTATTTTTAATTGTTTTGCAAGGATTAAAAGCAAAAAAAAAAAAAAAACTTTCCCAGTGTCAAAACATTTTTTTACAAGAATTTATGTCAATACATTGCTTGTGGAAGAAGTTGAAATGACGTTCTTTCAGTAAAAGTTGAGATAATTTTATGATAGAACCAAAGTCTAGAGACATAGATTTGGTTACAAGAGGATTTAGAGAACAGTTCTTAAATGAATGAATGTCTTTTTAAGGTTGCTTGAAACATTATTTTTATTTTAATTATAAAATAAGAGTTGCGTAGAAATGTGAACATAGAAAAAAATCACTTGGGATTTTTGATTTTTTAGAAATTGTTCCATAACTTTTTTGTTTGTTTGATAAAAGGTTTGTTCCATTACTGTTTCAAGGAAAATAAAAATCTAATTTACACGGTAATTGGCATTTACAAATATCTCAAAAATCAATTCGAGATGGAACGCGAACTATAGAAGTTACAAAATAATTATCGCGTAATGTTTTTCTTAAAATTTATAGATAAACTCATATATTACCACAAAAGTTTTACCTGGATATTTCATGAAACACACAAAAAAAAAAACTTATACATCTATATATCTCTCTCTTGTGCCGTTGTGGACTCGTTCGATCTACTTTAGTTTCTGTTGGAAAATAGTCGTATCAACAACTGAAGCCGTTGACTTCTTTAGTTGTATAAAAAACAAAAACTAAAGCCGTTGACCAAAAAACACTAAAGCCGTTGACTTCTCTTTTTTCTTTCCGAAAAGGATTTAACTCAAAATAGTAATGTCACATAAAAAACCTTTACAAACATTGTTTGGATATTGTTCCAAATTCGGTGGAACTCTAATTGATTACTGTTCTCACGGTTCAAGTGGAAATGTCTAGAAAAGAGTTTACCTATTATGGTCCAACGTGAAGCCAATCTTGTTTGAAACAGCCTTCAAAGCCTCTTGCCATTTCTCCATCTCTTTAGGACATGATTCTTTAGCGCGTCTCCAAAACCTATCGCCGAACACTCCCTTCTGTTTTCTCACGTCTTCCGGTCTTACCTTGTAGAAGATTGGGATGACAAGCATTCCCCTTTTCTCTGCTTGTTCCATGATTGTCGTCAGCTCTTCCAAACACCATTTTGATTCCCCATACCTGTTGAGAATGGTAATAACTTCATATTCGCATACCTTTTTGAATTTTTTTTTAATAATCTTTAGAACCATATATAAAACAAAGTTGTTATATCTAGCATAATTGGAACAATACCGCGTGGATAAGATGACCAGTGCAACAGTGGCCTCTTCGATCCTTTTAAAGAGATGTTTCAGGTCTCTACCCTTTTGTTCATGCGTATCTATGAAGAACTTGATGTTGTGTCTTTCCAAGGCATCTATAAGGTGACTTGCGAAGCCATAGCGAAGATCCTTTCCTCGGAAGTTTATGAACACTTGATGGACATGGCGAGATAGAGTGGCCATGACAGATTTTCACTAGTTTGGTACAAGATTTGTTAAGTAAAATCCCAATGTTTCTTGGAGATGTTAAATTCAGTGCATAGGAGAAGACAATGTTCTGAACTAATGAGAAAACTTTCCTTCTCGCCGGTCACTATATAAGAGGATTCCCTGACCCTACTAAACTTGCCTTTAAGTTTCTACTTTATTTTTTTAATATTGTTTTTATTTCATTCTATTTGAACCCTTTAAAATTTCAAATATGTTATAACCACTTTAAATTTTGTATTTTTTTTTTGTTTCACCCTATTATTTACATGTTTCTATAGATGTTTTTTTTTTGTTAAATTATGATCCATAAATATTGAACTTACCTTGTAATTTTCTTTTTAAAAAAACATATTTTGTTTTTTTTTTCTAAAAATTTAAGTAGTTATTGAAAAATTGTTTTGACACTAATAAAAAATAGTTTAGGTCTACCACTATTTGAGATCTCATAAAATATCAACCAGTTAAAAGGAAATACCTTAGAATAATACTAAACACGTTTTGTGGCTAGAAAAATATGTTACAAACCACTTAACAAATTCGAATCGTTTTGCTCACAGAATCATTTTGTCAAAAAGAAAGAATATTAATTATAATCTTTTTCTTCTGTCGTGTGTAGTGATGTCTTTGACAACCTTAACAGTTAATCCCAAATAATCATCAACAAATTATATTAAATATTGAACATAACCAACCTTTTCTTTCCCACCGTGTAGTCCCATGGAATCATTCCCAAATAAAATACAATATTTTAACCAATTTGAAGTAAAAAGTTCTAATAAAGATACCAACTGTTTTCACCAATTCTTGAAAATCTTTATTAATATAAAATTTTTGACCAGATGTTAAATACAAATTAAAATCTAATAAAGTTACCAGCTATTTTGATTCTCATAAATCTATATCTACTAAATCAAAAGTCACTTTTACAATAACTGATACTCTCTCTATTTGACATCTTTATCTAATAAATCACAAGTCAATTCTAAAAAAACTGCAACTCTCTCTATCTCTTAAGTCCCAATTTTAACACTTTCAGATTTCTAAACAATTGAACGTTGCTATTCGATAAAAAAAAACGACTAAAAAAAAAATCTCCTTGCAACTGTTTCCCCTCTTCACCCCCACGATCTCAATATCTCCACTTTGCCTCTCTTCTTCAACAATAGAACAACAACATTATTTCAAACAAAAAGCTTCCAAATCTCTTTCTTTTCTGATTCCTTGCTCTTTCCTACAACTTTTATCGGGTAAAATTTTTCAAGTTGCTACATGCTCTGATCTTAGGGTTTCATCAATCTCATGTCTCTTCAAAGAATCAAATCAAATCTTCTACTTCTTTTTCTTCTTTTCATCTTCTTCTTCTCATCAATCCAAAACTTAACAGTGCCAAACTCTCTCTCTCTCTAGCCAATCATAACTACGCTACGATTACATGGTAATCAACATTTTTTAGTTTGTGATATCACGTTTCTTTATCCTTATTCAAATCTGATTGGGAGAACCGGAGATCGACGGTCGAGATGATCGTCCAAGATTATGGAAATCATGAAGATCGAGAAGGATCTAGAAATTATTATATCTTAAGTTTAGGAAGTTTAACATTATCTCTAAATATATTATTTACATTTATATTTATCTTAGAATAGGAAATCTTATCTCTATATAAGAGAATGTAATTTATATCTTTAAGTTTATGAGAGTCTATTATAATTGATGAGAGTAAGAACACAAAAGTGTTTAGAAAGAATTATAATAGACTCTCATAAACTTAAAGATATAAATTACATTCTCTTATATAGAGATAAAATTTCCTATTCTAAGATAAATATAAATGTAAATAATATATTTAGAGATAATGTTAAACTTCATAAACTTAAGATATAATAACTTCTAGATCCTTCTCGATCTTTATGATTTCCATAATCTTGGACGATCATCTCGACCGTCGATCTCGGTCGATCTCCGGTTCTCCCAATAAATCTCTGTTTCAATTTCACTTCATTGCTGCATTAGATATCTATTTTCCATCTCATATGAATTGTTAATGATTCTTATAATGTGATCTAGTTTCTGTAGAGATGAGATAATGTTGCACGCTTCTCTGCCTCTTCTTCGTTGAATCCGTAGCTTTTGCGTCGGTGAGTGAGATTCTTACAATACCCTTCATGTCTCAGAGTACAAACTTGGTGGCCTGCGTTTTAGTTATTAAACGATGTAAAGCATCTTTATGTCTAAATTTATGTCACCATTCTCTTATAAGTTTACATGATTATATTGTTTTTGCAAATCCCATGTATACTCATTTCCACATTCTCCTTCTAACTTAATTGGAATTATCTTATGATTCTTTTTCTCTTCAGACGGACAAGTTAAGAAAAGAAAAAAAATAGCCCTTATGGTTGGTGACGATGAACCTGTAAGTTTTACTTACATCTCTTTTGTCATTTGATCCAAAGCTCTTTGCAAGACTTTACTTGCGATCAAACTCAATAACCAAAAAACTTGGGATTGTAATTTTCCTAAATTTTTCTCAATATTTTTCAATTATTTTTTTTATTTTTTTTTAAGTCTCTTCAGATTGTGTTTCTTTCTTCATGTTATTGTCAGATTTATTGGCGAAAGATAAAAAAATAAAGAGAAAACAAACTGGACATGAGTTACGTGTATGTTGCTATAATGTACAGTTAACAAATCTCTGGTTTGCAAGAAATCTGAATTTTCTATGTATTAATGTAAATAGCAATTATTGTAAAGGTTGAAAGTAACTTTTCATGAAAAAGTAAACCATTACTTCATTTCATTTATTATTCTCCGTAGATTTGCTTCAACTAAAGTAATATTCGTGAGTTCTTTTGATTAGATTAACTTTTCATGAAAAAAGTAAGCCTACTATACGTTATATGATTACATTTTCATTTTCATTTTGTCAATCTAACAACATGTTAACCAAGTGGTCTTGGGCTAGTGGTACTTGAGGGAGAAACCCCAATACGGTACCCGCAGTTCGATTCCACTTGGCCACTGGGAATTAAAATTTCGGCATCGCCAGGGACAGGGGACCGACACTGGGGCAGGCCGATAACGTAGGCTGCTACTGACCCGGTGGCTAGTCTGGACCACTTCGGTGGGGCCAGGATACCCCTGTATAATTCAAAAAATCTAACAACATGTGACAAAGATTTCTCTAAATTTTAATTGGTAAAGAAAAAAATTAGTTGGTTTATCTATAAACTAGTGTTAAGCCCGTGCTCTGCACGGGGCCAATAAAATCCCTTATATTCTTTCCTTGGTTTGTAAACACATAAATTAAATTTAATTGAGAGGATTTCGGGCTACTAAAAGGCTTTGCTTAAAAGGTTTCGGGCCAATTAGGGCTGGTCCTATTAGTCTATTTCACAATTTTTTTCTTTTTCTTTCTTTGATTGTAAACAACGACGTCTTCTTCTTCGTCAATCTCTTCTTCTTCAATATCTTCTTCTTCGATCTCTTCTTCGATTGTGATAAGCCATAAGAAAGGGTTCGATTGCTCTCTCTATATCTTTCATCTTTCTCATTTTTACACTCTCATAGATTGATAGATTCTCTTTTTTTGGGAATCTGATTTTGAATTGATTCATATGATTGAGGTTTAATGGTTTCAGCTCGAAGTAATCTTGGTTGAAGTGTATTCGTGTTCGTGTGCTCTGTAAAGGTGATTCTCTAAAGGTAATTTTGGATTCAAACTTGTGGGTCGCTGGAAAAATTGAATTTTCTGTAGCTATGAACTTGTGGGTCGCTGGAAAAATTGAATTTTCTGTAGCTATGAACTTGTGGGTCGATTCATGTTTTAAAAAAACTTCAAAGTTTCTGTCCAATTTTGGTGAAAGCTATCTTCTAACGTTTCTGGGTTTTGCTTGTTTCTTGTTATTGAATCCTTTCGTAAAATTGCTGTTTTTAATCCTGCGTATCTATAGTCACAATCGTGAATTCAATTTACGATTGTTCATCACAACGTGTAAAAATAGTCAAATTGCTGTTTTCAAGTCTATAATATGAATATTGGAATAGAAAGTTCTAATTGGTGGGTCAAAAAGAAAGTATAATCTGATAATACATGGTTGAATCTGCTTCTCAAAGAGAAATTATTTGGTAGAACTAATTCATCTCATATATTTTACAGGGACTGATTCATGCATATAGTGGAAATTATTTGGCGTGACATTTTACAGTTTCATTCCTTCTTTAAGGTATGTATCATTGCTTAGTTTCAGTAAAAAGAAAACGCCTAAATGGTTCGGGAGTAAATATTTAGCTAAATTAGAACTGCTAAACAGAAAATATTATCACATCTAATTTGATCATAGTATTCTGCAAAGTGAAAATTTGATAGCATTAATAAACTTCATCAAGGAGATGTAGAGCAAAACATGCATCTTTAAACATAGGATACAATATACCATAAAATCTTCCTAATCTGTTGACGTCACTGTCTCAACTGATGCTGCAGTGACCCTGTCTTTACCTTTGTTAACGTATTTGAATAAATCTTTGATTGCTCTGGTTTGGTTAGTTCTTTTACGCTTGCTCCACGTTTTAGTGCTTCTGTTTCAAACAAACTGTTTAGGAAACTCCATGTAACTCAGGTGCCGTGCTTCCATGGTGTGTTGTTTCATTCTCATCCACTCCAAAAATTTGGAATCATGTGTATAATCCACATGCATCTTCTAACTGAATTGATAAAATCAGAATTAACATGTGTTAAAGAAAAAAAAATGAATAAATAAATGTGACTAAAGTTAAAGCTTTAACCTGAATAGACTTTAACAGCAATGACAATGGCACAACAAAAAAGAATGAAGAACAGGAATAGATAGATAGATCTGGTAGAGAAGACGTTGAATAGAATTGGAGTTAAATAGGAGATAAATCAGTAAGCTCTTTGGATCAAAGGAAAAAAAGCTTTCATATAATAGCCCAAAATTCTCCAACGGAGTATACTTTGATTGAGATGAGGTGGGAGAAGATTAGAGTGATGGTTTTTGGTTCATAATCTAAAA